CTCCTCACAGCGGCGCTGACGAGGGGCTCCTCCGACCTCGCCCTCTGGCCTGCCGGTGCGCACCGCGGAGGGAGGGGGGAGGGGGAGAGGCTCCACTCAGCAGCCTGCATGCTGACGCCCATTCCCTCGTACGCGCAGGCGCGGGCGCCGCGCTCCTCGCGACCAACCTCCTGCCGGCGCCGCTCGCGGCTCTCCGCTCGGACGCCATCGTGCACGAGACGGAGACGGCCGACACGATCATGGGCGAGGCGCAGAAGGACTCGTCCGAGGCTGCGGATAGCGCCGAGAGTCCCGTCACGTTGAAGAGCATGATGGCCGAGGTCAAGCAAGAGATCATGGCCGAGATGCAGAATAAGGACGAGGAGACGCAGAAGAAGGACGAGGCGTTCAAGGAGGAGATGAAGAAGAAGGACGAGGCGTTCAAGGAGGAGATGAAGAAGAAGGACGAGGCGTTCAAGGAGGAGATGAAGAAGAAGGACGAGGCGTTCAGGGAGGAGATGAAGAAGAAGGACGAGATGATCACCGAGCTACTCGCCGCGCGCAAGAGCAAGACGGACCACAAGCAGGTCCAGATGTCGGCCGGCGGCGAGGTGGTCGAGCTGGTGAGCGCCGCGGACCTCAAGGCGCTGGAGGCCCGCGTGCAGGCTGCTGAAGAGCGCGTGGAGGAGTGCGTCGCTCAGAACGCAGCGCAGGACGCCAAGATCGGCGCGCTCCGCGACAAGCCGGCCCCGCCCAACCCGCCGGCGGCCACGGCTCGCCCGCCGGCAGCGGCGCGGCGGCAGCTCTCCTCCGCGACTGGCGACGAGACCGAGTTCGCCATCACGGGGAGGAAAGCGACGCTCTCCTTCAACAGCCGCACGCCCGACCTGACGCCGACCCGCCTGACCGGCGAGGGGGACGGCAAGCTGACGTGCGACGGCGAGCTGCACGCGACGGACTTTGTCACGGCGGACGGAGTAAGCGTCACGGAGCAGCTGAAGGACGGCCTCGCGCAGGGACTCGCGAGCGTGAGCGAGGAGCTCGAGTCGCTTCGGAAGTTTGTGGGCATGGTGCCGCCGTCGACGCCGCCGCTGTCGCCGCCGCCTACGCCGCCCCCGTCGTCGCCGCCGCCGTCGCCGCCGCCGACGCCGCCCTCGCCGCCCTCGCCGCCGCCGCAGATGGTGCTTTCGAACCCCATCGCCGTCGCGAGCGTCACCGACGGGGTGAACGGCTTCGACGAGCTGGATGCTGCACATAACGTCGCCACGTTTGTGGTGGCCGGGCGGACCTACGCCATCGTCGTGAGCTTCAGTGACGACGGCGCGCAGATCATCGAGCTCACCGACCCGTCCTCCCCCGTCGCCGTCGCGAGCGTCACCGACGGGGTGAACGGCTTCGACGAGCTGGATGGTGCGAGGTTCGTCGCCATGTTTGTGGTGGCCGGGCGGACCTACGCCATCGTCGCGAGCCGTCATGACGACGGCGCCCAGATCATCGAGCTCACCGACCCGTCCTCCCCCGTCGCCGTCGCGAGCGTCACCGACGGGGTGAACGGCTTCGACGAGCTGGATGGTGCACATGGCGTCGCCACGTTTGTGGTGGCCGGGCGGACCTACGCCATCGTCGTGAGCCGTTATGACGACGGCGCCCAGATCATCGAGCTCACCGACCCGTCCTCCCCCGTCGCCGTCGCGAGCGTCACCGACGGGGTGAACGGCTTCGACGAGCTGGATGGTGCAGCGAGCGTCGCCACGTTTGTGGTGGCCGGGCGGACCTACGCCATCGTAGTGAGCGTCGATGACGACGGCGCCCAGATCATCGAGCTCACCGACCCGTCCTCCCCCGTCGCCGTCGCGAGCGTCACCGACGGGGTGAACGGCTTCGACGAGCTGGTTGGTGCAAATGGCGTCGCCACGTTTGTGGCGGCCGGGCGGACCTACGCCATCGTCGCGGGCTGGGATGACGACGGCGCCCAGATCATCGAGCTCACCGACCCGTCCTCCCCCGTCGCCGTCGCGAGCGTCACCGACGGGGTGAACGGCTTCGACGCGCTGGATGGTGCAGCCGACGTCGCCACGTTTGTGGCGGCCGGGCGGACCTACGCCATCGTAGTGAGCTTCGATGACGACGGCGCCCAGATCATCGAGCTCACCGACCCGTCCTCCCCCGTCGCCGTCGCGAGCGTCACCGACGGGGTGAACGGCTTCGACGAGCTGGATGGTGCAGTGAGCGTCGCCATGTTTGTGGCGGCCGGGCGGACCTACGCCATCGTCGCGGGCTTCTATGACGACGGCGCTCAGATCATCCAGCTCTCCATGCTCTCCACGTGAAGAAAGAGTAAAGAAAGATGGCCCCTTACTGCCGCCGCCGGCCGCCGTCATGCGCCTTCCCACCCCCACCCTCCCCCCACCGCCGGCACTGCAGCCGCCGCGCGTCTCGTGTGTAGCCTGCTCGCTGTGAACGAAAATCCAGCCTTCGCGTCGGCGCCGCGCACCTGCCTGGCGCGTTTGGTTCAAGTAGTCTGTTTTTGTTTTTCTCCTTCATACCTTGAACCTTCTCCGTCAGCTCGACAGCGTCGCGCCGGGCGACTGCTCGCCTCCCTAGCACCGTCCACCGAATTCTTGAGCGCCTCCTTCGCCCTCCTGCCACCCAGCCATGCGCCCGCCAAACAGCGCCTTCCTGGCGCCCTCCAACGTCCAAGCTCCAACCCTGCGGCCATGCCCGTGCACCACCCCATGATTCCCACCAGCCTGGTTTGTAATTGTATTCCCCGTCGCAGGCAGGGGGCAGGGGGCACATTATTTGGGGCCGCCTGGAGCCCTGCCTGCTGTTCACGCGCGCGTTTTGTTTTGCAGCCTTAGAGCTTAGTACAGTTTTCCGTGTTTTCGCGAAGCGCTCGCGCCCCTACCCGGCTAGTCGTCAACGAGTCCACCAGCCCGCTCGACGAAGCGATCAAGCCCCAATGCCACCAGGAGCTCGCCAGGAGCTCCGGAGCTCGCCAGGAGCTCCGAAGCGCGCACACAGCACGCGAAACGAAACAAGACAAGCCGTGTGGGTGCGGGTGTCTCCGTGGCTCACGATGGACGCACGTCAAACTATTCGTTCACATTCACGGCTGTACACTCGTAATTCGGCCGTCCGCGAGCCCCTAGCTCGCCGACGGCGAGAGAGATGCCACGAGGGGTCGCGGTGGCGTCCATCGCCAGGCTCCCTAGCTCAACCGACGACCCTTCGGGATCGACGGCCGATCGTCATTTACCCCTCGTCCAACAAAAGAAATGCGCCGTCAGCTCACGAGAGCAAACTCAGCCGAGGTCAATGGCCGTCGACACCGTGCGCTGGACGGGCTCCCTCGAGCTCACGAACACGTCGTCGTGGTCAGACCAGATCCACTGGTCCGGAGAGCCGAACACCGCATCCCTGATCGAGATCTGCGGAGGCGTCACCGTCCGGGCCGCCCAGGCGCGCGCGCCTCTCGACGGGGGTCACATTATGAACAGTCTTGAGCCCACGGCCCTCCCCTCCCCCTCAGGCGAGCCGCGCGTCGGAGATTCTCTTGTGCGCGCCCGACTCCAACTGTACGTGCTCCGCGGATCCGGGCCTCGTGATTGTGCTCGAGGAGGGCGGGCTCTGCTTCGGGCCCTTCTGCGAGGGGGCTTTCCGCCGTCCGCGCCACCGCCTCCGATCCCCCCTCCCTCGCCGCCGCCGCCGCGGACGGATATTCACGAGCGCGGACGAGCGGTCGAGCGGCGCGGGGCCGGCGACGCGCGAGCCACGGGCGGGCCCGGTCGCCGGTCCGGGACTCTGTAGTCTCGTTTTCTACATTCTAGCTGATTCATGCTGTCTGTCGTGCATCATGTGTGCGAGGTTGCGACACGGTGTACCTCAGTCACCTTATGCCACGCCGTCGCATATCCGGATTATGCGACTGTGGCATAAGGTGACTGATGCACCGTCGCATCATGACACGCTCTCCCGCACCTCTCTCCTCATCCTCTCTCGCAGCGTGAACTGCAGGCAGCGTGTGGGTGTGTTCCGCAGGGCCTCACGTGTCACGCGTGCCGTTGCTCACATGCGGCCATCCGGCGTCCCGGCCGCGATCCAACCACGCTCCGGGTCACTCCCCCGCGCATCCCGCCCTGAGCGCCCGGCTCAGCGCGCGGACCGTGCACTG